TTGATTTTTCCCTTCCTTTTCTTGTTAAAGAACTGATTTTAGGACCTAGAACCCTCCCTTTGAAGTAGGAATTTCCAGATCTGCTCTGCTCTTCCTCCCCTGTCCACCAGTGCTGGTAGGTACGAATTTCTGGGCATTTCTCTGCCCTCCACACTGCCAGCTCCGGTTTCAGCTTGCCAGATTTTTCTGGTATGATGGACAGCTTCCTTTAAGTTCAATTTCACCCATTTAATTGCTGAAATTATCCATGTAATTGCTGCCCCTGTATTGTTCAAATTTCTGCCGAAATATGAAAGAATTTGGCAGCATTTTAAATTCGTTTTTTTAGCTTAATTCATGTAGAAATAAACCTGTTTTTGGCTTGAAATTAGCTGTTGTTCTGTGTGGAAAATCCTGCTGTTTTGCCAAAATTTTACAGTTCACGCGCGCAGCTACTGTTCACGCAGAAAATTCTGCAAATTGCTGCTGCGTTTTTATGCATTTTGCTACTATTTTTCCTTTCTTTTTCAGTCTGTTTTGATTTGAAAATTTGGTGAAATATCCTTTTTTTGGTATTTTAGTTTGCTGTAATTGAATTATGGAAATATCAGTGACTGTTCACGCGCACTGTTCATACATTGAGTTTTAATTATTTGGAGTAGAAAATCCCATGTGTTAGTGGCAGTTTTGCCAAAGATGGAAAATTGAATAAAAGCCATGCTCCCCATTGTTTGCCCGTGAGTTTGGGAAGTTATAAATATATGTAAATGTGTGTGTATTTAATTGGTATATATATATATATATGTATACCAAATCCGGATTAATACTAAAATTCGGAAAGAAGAAAAGAATAAATAAATAAATGAATATTGCATTTTTGGGGTTTTGCCGGCAACAACAAAGAGGATGAAATGCTTAGTTTTATATGAGAATAAAATTAGAGGTGTTTGGTCATGAGAGATTGACATAAATTGCGATGTTGTGTTAATATTCTAGCGAGGTCTGAACATGTTTATTTGGAATATTAGGTGTTGTTGTGGCTTAGAGCTCTGGGGTCGAGTTTCCTGTTTTATGCGAAGTGAGGTAAGTAACTTATGGTAATGCTCTGGATTTAAGGTAAAGCTTTTAAAAGCAAATTTCTAATGGTTTTGAAATGGTGGCAGGATTAAACCCGTTTTACACGAGCATGATTGATTTGAAGTGAAAATTTTATGCTTTTTATTAAATTGTGTATGCCTACTTGGAATTTAATTAACTAGATCTGAAAGTGATTGTGAATTGTGATTTTCCTGTTAACTTCTGTCTGTTTTGTCTCCGATATGGTAATGTTATTAGTGTGCCTGCTAGTGGGAGGTTTATAAATGCTAGCACATGTCGACATGCCATTGATAGAACCGGTTCGTTCGAGTGACCCTGCTAGTGGGGGTTATACACCAGCAAATAGTGTGCCTGCCAGTGGGAGGTTTATAACACTGGCAATTACCTATAGAGGAGACGTCTATTTCATTTCCGTACCGTATCCGTTTTTTGTGATTACACTTGTTGGCATGCTATGAGTTTAATTATGAGCTATCCATATGTTATTTACTGAGTTATCTCACTTTGTTTTTCCTTGCCCACCATTTCAGGTAGTGTGACCCGAGACACGGAAATCAAGGGGAGTTACGTGGTAAAAGGCTAGCCACTTGAGATTTGATATAGATTCTAGATATATATACTGTAATACCCCAAAATTTTGTGATATTTTAGCATGAAGTTAAGGACTAAATTGTGGAAAAATATTGTTTTGGGGCTTATTAGCTAAAATTTGCTAAGTTGAGGGACTTAAAAAGGGAAAGGATTTTGGATAAGGATCGGCTAACTTTTTCTTTTTCTTTCTTTCTTTCTTCCTCAGCCGTGCAGTCCTGCTCTCCTTCCCGATGCTTGCCTCCCGAAAGTCCCCCCCAAGCCACCGACGCACCCTTGAAAAAAAAAAATTGGCAAAAGCTTGATGTTTGTTCCATCTTTTCTTGCTCAAGAACCAAGTTTCAAGCTTAGAACTCTCTCTCCCAAACCCAGAATTTTCCAGATCTGCACTGTTTCCTCCCCTTGCTGTCCGTCGGCTTCTGCTATGTGTGATTGCTGGGCATATTTCCGATTTTGGGTAGACCCGTGAGTTCCCTTGCAGATTCCTGCCGGCTTCCCCTAGCTTGCAGCTCCGGTTTTTGCTGCTAAATTCTGGTATGTTGACAGCTCCTCCAAGCCCAAAATTTCATCAATTAATTGCTGAATTTATCCATTTAATTCCTGCCCCATGTGCTGTCCGAATTTGTTGAAAAATGGGGATGAATTTGGGTAGTAATTAGAGCATAATTAAGCTTAATTCACATGTAAATTGCTTGAGTTGGCTGTTGTGATTTTTGGAGAAAATCCCGTGAGATTAGCTATGGTTTTGTCAATTTATGGAAGTGCAGTTACTGTTCATGGCACTGTTCACGGGGACTGTTTACGCACTGTTCACATATTACTGTTCACACACCGAGGGTCAACAATTAACGGAGATTTAAATGTTTAGTTTGTAATATAAGAATAAATTTGGAGATATTTGATCATGTGGAGATTGATAGGAATAACATCGTGATTAGGGGGTAGTTATGGTGATTTTACTTTTGAATCTGTGGTACGGTAATTAATTTTTGGATATTTTGATTAGGTTCCTGATCGTTCTATCAGTTTAGCACTGAAATTGAGTCTTCGGTTTTATGTGATTTGAGGTAAGTAAATTTATGGTAATGCCCGTACTGTTTTTAAAAGCATGTTTTGACTTGTTTTTGAAGTGGTGGCGGGACTAAACTTGTTTTATGCAAAAGTAAGTATGATTGATTTGAAGTGAAATTATTATTCTTTTTATTGATTTGAGCATGCGTGCGTGGAAATTGTTTAACGGCCCTGATGATCTGGAAAGTATCTGTAAAGTATGATTTTTTGTTAAATTTTGCCTATTTTGTCTCCAATATGGTCATGTTATTCGTGTGCCCGCTAGTGGGAGATTTATAAACGCTAGCACATGTCGACATGTTACTGATAGAACCGGTTCGTTTTTGTTATCCTGCCAGTGGGATTATACAATAGTAAATCATGTGCCTGTCAGTGGGAGGTTTATAACACTGGCCATGACCTATAGAGGGGACGTCTATTTCGTTTCTGTACTCGTATTTGTTTTTCGTGATTGCACTTGTTGGCATGCTATAAGTTTAATTAAGGGCACTCCATATTTTACTTACTGACTTTATCTCATAATTTTTCCTTGTCCACCATTTGAGAAGGCGAAACTGAGGACGGAAAACCACGGGAAGTGACGAGTTAGAAGGTTAGTCATGTTGTAAATTGAACATAGATTTTAGAAATAAATCATGATCTTGTAAGCTAGATTTTATTTGGAGATTTTATGATATCAGAGCAAATTTTAAGATTTTTATCTTCAGATTTTGATGGTATCAGATTGTGGTATGATAAGTTCCGAGCCTTATGCATTTGTGGGACTCTCTCACGATTGCGCGGCGTTTGTCGCGCCTCGGATTTGGGTTCTGGGGCATGACATATACCATGCTCTTGTAAGTTAGATTTTAATTGAAAATTTTATGGTATCAAAACTGATTTTGTTGAGTAAGTTCCGAGCCTTGTGCACTTGTGAGACCCGTCTCACAAGTGTACGGCGTCTGTTACGCCTTCGGATTTAAGTTATGGGGTGTGACATTCAATTGTAACTAAATATATTATTATGTTTTTATTTTCTTGTGCCTTTTTTCCTCTTTGTCCAAAATATGTATATTGTTGTTGTATGAAATAAGGATTACTATTCTTTTTTATGAATTTTTTATAAAACATATGATGTTGTCCTTTTAAAAGAATTTTGTAACTTTATTTGTTTAAAATTTGTGCATTCTCTTCTTTATAGACTATTAATAGATGATTTTTTTTTTTGCATGTTAAGGAGAGAGCTTCACTTATGAGATTAGAGTAATTAGAGTAATAAAAGTATTGTTTCATATACTGAACTAAACAAGAAAGGTATGCATTTGATAGAAATCAAGTCATGTGAAAATATTATATTTTTTTGTTTTTGCAATAAGATACTATGTTTTTTTATTTTATTCATAATATACTATTATTAACTTTTTAGTCCTTTTACTTATAAATTTTACTTATTAACCATAAAATAAAATTTTGCAAGTTAAGCAATTGTGGAAGAAAGAGTTAGTAAAGACTTATGTCAAAAAAAAAAAAAAAAGAAGAATTGTTAGGTGCTTTTCTTTATTTTATAATACTTCATGTAGATTTGATTCTTAGATTAACAATTAATAAATTTATATTAAAAAGAAGATAAAAATGCTACCCTATGTATAAAGAAAATCTATATATCCAACAATAAACTATTTATATATATTATATAAAATACTACCTTCAAGATTAAATAGGCACTAAAATTTGTCATTTTTGTTTTAATTATAGAAGAAACTTTGTTAAAAAATAAGAAAATATTAATTTTACATTAAAATGCAATAAATGTACTTATTATTTTAACTTTCCATTTTCTTTCTCTTCTGATTTTATCTTTATCTTTTCAATCTTTTATCATTATTTTATAAAGAATAAAAAAAGAATTATATTGCATATTAATTATTAAATGCATGTTAAAAGCTATATATATTTATATGGAGGTATCACTTTATCTTCCACATTAACTTAAAATTAATAATTATTCATTATATAATTTTAATGGCATAGTAATTTTATATTTTAAAT